GTTTGTTTGTCTTGTTTGTCTCTGTGTCCCTGTGATGGACTGGAGACCTGTGTCCAGGGTCTCCCTGCCTCTCACACAGTGACTGCTTAGATATGGGCTCTTGTGACCCCCGCCTGATGAACAAATTTGCTGAAAATGTTGAATATTTCAAAAAGTTTTAAAAATATCAATATCAAAAGTCATAGCAGGAGTGCTCTGAACAAGCTGAACGCTAGAACTTATTAATGTAACGTAATATGTTAATTGGTGAATTAGCTTAAAAACTGGGAACCTTAAAAAGCCTCCCCACCATCACAGACATCTACACCTCCAGATGCAGGAAGAGCCACCTGCATCATGAAGGACCCCACTCACCCAGCACACACACTTTTTGCCCCACTCCCCTCAGGCAGGATGTTGAAGAGCATTAAGTGTAGAACCACTAGACTGAGGAACAGCTTCTACCCTGAAGCTGTTAGACTCATGAATCTCTAACCAGAATAATCACTGTAACGACACTTTAATTGGTGATACGTGACTTATCTGTGCTGCTCATAATCCATGCTGCTGATCTCATGCTGCTGTATTCATTTGTACCCATCTGCTCACACAGACTCATGTTCGGGCTGCTGTTGTTACGCAATATTGTTTTATTATTGTTTAGCGTATATCTTAGATCTTTTAGCGTAAAAACGTTTGGGGTTCTTTTAGCGCATATCTTAGTGTTTATCTCAGATCCTTATTTACTGTTTCTTTTCACATTTTATATTTTTGCTATTGTTGGGTGTAACTGGGACCCTGAGTACATAACTTTGTTCCACCTCATGTACCACAGGTGAATGGCAATAAACTTGACTTGAACTTGAAAAACTTGGGGGCGTGGTGGAGCAGAGGTTAAAGAAGGTGGGCCTGTGGTTGGAGGGTCACCGGCCAACTCCCTGGACCAACAATTTCAAAATGTGAGTGAAAAAGGTGAAACACCCACACCTGCCTCCACCCTCATCTGCCACCCCCACCCCCACTCTCACCTGCTCCCCGCCACACATGTGCGTGTTCACATGTGCAATGGGGAAAATTCCGAGAATTAATTTCCCCACTGGGGATTACTGTAATAGAGTATGAAAAAAATGTTTAAAAATGTGGGATGAGGTAGATGCTGAGAAACGTACGGAAGACACTTGAACGGGATTTCAATGGGGTGAATGCTTAACAGAATTCTTTGTAGAGATATAACAGAGTGCTGTAAGAAAGTGTGTGTGGCTGGGTAAATGAGGGCACACATTGTTTTGTAAAGTGTGTTTATCCTGATTGGATAGAAAGGAAGAATATAAGTACATTTCATTTACCATTTACATAGAGCATGCAGATAAAGCACATTTGTTAAGAAACAGACTACAGTATATGAACCATAGATTGTGTGTTTGTTATACAGTCTGTGGTTCAAACTGAAAACGCAAGAAAAAGGGAAGATAGCAAATATTTTTAGCTTGTTGTTTAACAGTTTTTTCTGCATTGTTAGGTCATTTTTGATTTGTTTTGTTGACAGATCAATAAAGTGATTTCACTTTTTGGCCTTAGATTTTTGATTTAAGAATATGGGTTTAGTCGTTTAGTCTTTGTCCATTTACAGCAGGGATAACTTTTTTTACCCAATATATAAAAATGGAGATAAAATCAATTTTCCAACAATATACCGATATCTCTGTTACCACAATGTTTAAGTTTTAGAGAAAAAAAAATAATACAATGGAAACATTCTTGGGAAAAAAAATGAATTATTGAAAGTTAGTATGGGTTCAGATCAAAACGATCAACAACACTAGCCATATTGGAAGCAATAGTAGAAATAGCTGCTGTTGATCATAAAAAAAGAATGCTGCTGGAGTGTTTGTTATTATTAAAAAAAGAGCTTTTGATGCAATAAATCATGATTTACTGTTGAAAAAGCTGGAATGATATGGGATTAAAGGAATTGTGTTACAATGTATTAGTAGCAGACAACACGATGTGAAACTGAGAAATATGTGTTCAGTGCTGCTTGTGGGGTTCCACAGAGGTCAGTTTTGGGCCCAAAATTCTTTATGTATGTAAAATATATATACAAAATATCTGGCGTTATGAAATTTGTATTGTTTGCTGATGATACAAATGTATTCTTGGTTGGAGATACTCTGGAGCAGTTGTTAAAAATATGTCACTGATGAAATGAAAAAGCTAAAAATATGGTTGTATTGTAACAAACTGTCTTTAAATCTGAGCAGAACTAAAATAATGTTTGGGAACTGTAAAACAGACAAGGAACTGAAACTACAGATGAATTAAGTGATTGTTGAAAGTTAAATTTCTCAGTGTTATTATTGATGATGAGCTGAACTGGAAAGTTCCCATCATATGTTCCAAGTAAAATATCCAAAAGTATTTCTATATTAAACAAAACTAAATATGTAGAAAAGCACTCCGCATTCTGTACAGTTCCTTAGTTTGTCCATATTTAAGTTGCTGTGCAGAGGTTTGGAGAAATAACTACAAAACAACACTCTAGTCACTAATTATACTTGAAAAAAAAGTATTAATTAACAAGGCTCAGTACATGGATAATACTAAACAATCAAAATTACTAAAACTTATCAACATAGTTAAATTACAAACAGTTGTAATAATGTATAAAACTAAAAATAACCAACTACGTTTAAATGTTCAAAAATTATCCAAAAGAATAGAAGAAGTTTATGAGTTAAGAGGTTAATGTTGGTACCAAACAAAGATGATTAGAAGAAGAATAAAAAGTTTCTGTTTGTGGAGTGAAGCTTTGGACCAGACTGAACATGGAACCTGAGCAGCGTCCAGACATGAAGCAGTTTAACACACGGTATGATGAATATCACACATGAATAACCATAATTATGACTATCACCTATTTTCATCGTTTAAGTGACTGTATATATTATTGTCTTAAGATGATAGTCAGAGGTTCTACACTCATTTATTTATTTACTTGTCCATGAATATGAAGTGATGAATAAGGCTGCAACAGTGGGCTCATAATTAAATACTTCTTCCCACTCCATTAATCATAGGAATATTGTATATTAGTAAATGTTTCTGTTATTTTCTGTTGTCACATTCAGTAAATTTAAGAAAGAAAAAAGAGTACACTGTATAAACCTAATCTGGGCTGTTATGATTTTTTTTCTGCTGACAATCCTTCCAATAAGACAAAACTTGTGTCTTTTTCTGATTCTTACAATCAGCATGCTAGCTGAGACTGTAGTCTTAGATTAGGTTCTTGGTTTAGTTTAGTATGATTTAGAAGTGCACAATGTGAATTTGGAGGGAATGGGTACTGGAAGGTCCACTCCTGAAGGAGTTCAGAAGTTTTCTCCAGGTACTTCGATTTCCTCCATGAGAACCAAAAACATGCATGTTAGGCTGATTGGTAACTCTAAACCAGGGGTCTGCAACCTGCGGCTCTGGAACTGCATGCGGCTCTTTGGTTCCTCTGCAGCGGCTCTTTCAAGCTGTGACCAAAACTGACATAAAACTGAATTTTATTTGTTGTTATACAAACAAAAACAAAAAAAGACTAGTTTTAGCAGTTTTCCTGTCATTTATTTTGCTGGAACATGTACAAGGAGGAAAACGTACTCACTTTAACTTTATGCTTTATTTCTATACTTAATTTTACCACTATTTAAAAAATACATAGGTCTGCATAGGTCATAGTTTTTATTAATTAAAAGACTAACCCCCCCCCCCACACACACACACACACACACAAGAATTTGATCTTTTCATTTGTCTTAAATTGTAAAAATCTAAATAATTAGATATTTTTTAGCTTTATAATGTCACCCCTAATGGCCTCAAAAGCCCCCTCCAATAAACCTAAAGTGGCCCAAACTTTTAATTTAGTGAACGATAGCTTAGAATGGCTCTTTTGATCGTAGAGTTTGCAGACCCCTGCTCTATACCGTCCCTAGGTGAGAGAGAGAGAGTGAATGGTTGTTTGTCTTGTTTGTCTCGTTTGTCTCTATGATGGACTGCAGACCTGTCCAGAGTGTCCCCCGCCTCTCGCACAGTGACTGCTGGACATGGGCACCAGAGACCCCATGACCCGAAAAGGAAAAGTGGGTAAAAGATGATGGATGGATGGATGGATGGATGGATGGATGGATGGATGGATGGATGGATGGATATTTTCAGGAAACCGTAATACCTGGAGAAAACCCACACGTGCACGGAGAGAACCTACTAATTCCACCCAGAATGCCCCAGCCGGGATTCAATCCGGCAACCTTATCATCGAGTGGCAGCAACTCTATCAACTGAGCCACTGTGCCACCCTGCTCAGGTTTTATTGATTTTTTTTTTTTCATTTTTGCTTAAAACATTGACATTAATGGAGTCAAACATGTTCGTTGGAAAAATATCTTATGAACCGCTAGAAAGATTTTAATAAAACTTTCAGAGAATAATTCAAACTATTACGTGCTGCTAAAAAACCAGCTACAACTCTGATGATTTAACAAATATTAAGCTAAAGTTTGGACACTCTAAATGTTAACACAAAATCAACATGAAATCATGTGATGTTTGACCAAAATAACTGTTGTTTTGTTTTCATTTATTTATATTTAGTTTTTGTTTGTATTGTGTATTTAATGTGTAATATTATATTGTGTCTGTTTCCATTTGCCTTTTTCTTGCTGCCAATACAAATAAAAGATGATTTCATTGTGTTTCTCATCATTAGCTGTTTGGTGTAAAACGCTGACACTAAAGGAAGCAGGCAAGATCAAAAGACAATAATCTTTTATTCTCCACATGAATAATCGTTGTGTGCAAAATAACTATTAATATTTGACACGTGATCAATCAGGTAAGGCTGAATGTAAAATCAAATGAATCGATCATCAGGGGTGAGGACTTTATGTGCAACAGGTTGTAGCTGTCAGTAAACTCTGCCTGTTGGACCTGAAGGCGCAGCAGCCGAACCCCCACCACAAAGACAAATGTCCTACCTTAGTCCTGATCTGTCCAGAGGTGGACACTTTCCGGATGAGTTTCTGGGGCCCTTCCTGCTCCGCATCACTGTCGGAAGACTCGTCCGCAGCGCTGGAGCTGGCGACGGCTCCCACCACATGCGCATGGACCCCCGTGGCGCACGATGCGGGCTCGGGTTTGTCCGGCTCCTGTCGATAAAAGCAGTCGATGTTAGCCATGATCCCGGTCCAGTCCTCTGCTGCGGAGGACGAGAGGAGCTGAGCCGCCAGGAGGCGTCCTCCCGCTCCGTCATCTCCCTGCGCCTGGTCTGGAAGGACAGATCCTGAGGACAGACAGGCTCACGAGCGCGCAGGGGACAGTCTCCACATTCTCCCCCCCCCCCCCCCCCCCCCCACCCACACACACACACACACACACACACACACACACAGAGCTGGCTGATGCTCGCAGCTCAGACTCTGCACGAGGATGTTTCTGCGGCATAACACAAAGGAAACTGTAACCACTAAAATCTTATTGTCTTTACCAGTGATCGTGACAAACGTTAATCTGAATATTTGTATTTATATTCTCAATCCAATGTTACCAATACCTGATCCTTCTTCAGTATTGAGTCAAGGCAGGAAAAGTTCATTTCCTCACAATTTTTTTAAAATTTATTTTAAGACTTGAGAATCAGATCAGAATAACTTTATTGTCATTATATGCAAGTACAATGAAATTAAGAGCCACTCCTTTTTTCAGTGTAAAAACATGCAAAACACACTAAAAATATAAAAAATGTAACGCAATATAGAACAACAAAGCACAACTTGGGAACAAAGATCAAGTTTTTGGTGTTATTTTATACACAACGCGTGTTCCTTTAATTTATTTATCTGTTTTTCAAACTGAAAGTTCAACAAATCTCGGCGCTTTTACGCACGAAAACACGTCGGAAGAGTAAAAAGTCACAGTTGGAGCAGTGGAAATCGAACTGTTCGCGTTTATCTGGTGGAAGAAAAAGATTCACGAGCAAAGCGGTTGGGTTTTCTGAGACCAGCTCCCACTAACCAGTTCCTCCCAGGCAGGGCTGCGGCTGTATCCGTCCGCATCCTCCATAATCCCAGCGTCTGTCCGCCGCGGGTTCAGGAAGGTGGAGGCGTCCAGCTGCCTGTGCGCGCGCGTTCTTCCGCCCTCACTCCCAAACAACAAACAGCCGCTCTGACTGAGAGCTGACTGCGTCCTCCTCCCTCTGCACGAGCCTCGTCTCTTTTCTTTCAGGGCTGAGCTCATCAGCTCCACGTGATGAAAGTCAAAGTCGCTCAGGGCCGCGCGCGGCTGATTGTCACCGTGCTGGAAGCACGCGCAAAAACAACAAAAACATCTGTCTTCAAACTGTGTTCAGACAACACTGACTCATCTCTCATCTTCATCCAAACTTTTACCAAAAGCTCAAAACAAAAATGTTTGTTGTGATAATGCAGCTGAATGTAGAGCACTGAAGAACTGCGGAAATTTGCAGCAGAAGCCAAAAGTGATTAAAGCTGAAAAAGCACAACATTAAGCTAAAAGTAACAAAAGGCTAGCAAATAACAAAAAGCTAAAAAGAGCTAAATGATAACTAGAAGCTAAAGGTAGCAAAAGATTGTTATAATCTAAAAGACTACCTGATACATAAGCCCATATGAAGGATTTAAAGATTTTTTTTACTGTCATACACATTTACACGCTTATGGTAAAAAATTCAGACTCAGGTCCCAGATCAAGAAGCCTAACATTTAAGTTCAAGTTCAAGTTGTGTTTATTTATCATATGCAGGTTAACACAGGGTTAACAGTAAAATGAAATACTTAGGATGAGAAGAACCAATTTGACTCACTAAAAAATCAAAGAACAAACCAACAAGAAATACTGAAATCATGCAATAAGGGTACACAAAAAAAGTACCAAAAGTGAAAAAGTTATTATAATATTTACAATATCCTAAAGAGAAATATTGAACAACAACATGGTAGAATACAGTATAATGGTGCAGTATTTCAAGTAATATAAGCTAAAATGCACATGATATATCCCCGGAAAACATCCCTGGGAACGTGTTGAAAGAATCTGCCGATCAGCTCTGGGAGGTGCTGGCAGACATCTTTAACACCTCACTTACCCTGGAGACAGTTCCCATCTGCCTGAAGACTGTCACCATCATCCCAGTCCCAAAAAGCTCTACAGTGACTGGTCTGAATGACTATCATCCAGTGGCCCTCACCCGATCAATGCTTCAAAAAACTGGTCATGACCCACATCAAAACAACCATCATCAACAAAGACCCTCATCAGTATGCAAACCGAGAGAACCGATCAACAGAGGATGCCATCTCCTCTGTGGTCCACACTGTACTCAACCACCTGGAGCAGAAAGACTCCTAGGTCTGTATGCTCTTTATGGACTTCACATCTGCCTTCAACACCATGATCCCCAAACCCTGATGGACAAACTATTCACACTAGGACTAAGCCCCTCCATTTGCAACTGGGTACTGGACTTCTTAACAAACAGACCACAGTCATTGAGGATTCACAACTTCTCCTCCACCATAACCCTCAGCACTGGCTCTCCTCAAGGATGTGTGTTAAGCCCTCTCCTGTTTACTCTGCTCACGTATGATTGTGCAGCTACTCATCCAGGCTGTCACATTGTAAAGTTTGCAGATGATACAGCGGTGGTGGGATGCATCACAAACAATGATGAGTCCAGCTACAGGCA